CATTCCAAAATACACAATATATCCTTATACTATTTAAAGTTGGACAGTAGTGGCTAAAAAACGATCACGCTAATATAAGTTTGAATAAAAATTAGTCTATATAGATGAAAATTTTGAATTATTGAATGTCACCTACAATTAAGGATATTTAATGAGACCAGTCAATAACTACGAAAATTTGGAGTTCATTATTAATATTCCTTTTCAAGATAGGTAGTATCTTCTTGAGTATCAAGTTGCTATTATTTATAATTTCGAACTTGTAAAGATATTGCAATCTGAGTATTTTTAATTCTAATTTAATATATTCGATTATTATTAGAAATTTTCAGAGGGAACTAAAATTAATTTGAAATTTCTGGCATAGTTTACTAATGAGATCATACCTTGCCAAGAGGATTTATAAATAAAGATTAATTTACCTCCCTCCTGTTTAGTGAGCTTGAGTGAATAAATAGTTCAAGCATTAAAACCTTTAAAGATAATTACAAATTGCTATTTTTCTAATACAGCTCCATTTACTTACCAATTAAGATATTTTCTTCACAATTAAGATTTTATTGATTTTTTGAATCGAAAAAATGATTATTCATTAATCTTGAGTAGTTATTCAAGCTCATATATTATTGAATGCTCTTTACCGTTTTCTGATGGCATTCTTCTAATATAAGCAATGGATTCTAAAGGATCTTACTCAAATATTTAGAAATAGTTAAATATAACTAAGACTATGCTTAATTGTTCCTAGATAAACATTCAGCATTATACTTTAAGATATTAAATTTCATTATTATTAGAAATTCTATTGAACCATTAATAATAATAAAATTGTATTGATCTTTCCAAATAGATATATTCAAATATCAAAACCTTTTTAGATGCAGAAGAGAATGATGATCAATTATTAGTTTATCAAACCGTGAAACTGTATAAAAGAATAATCCAAGATCATGATAATTTAAACTCCTAAAAGAGATTATTAAATTAGAATTCAGAGAGTTGCTTTTAAAATTCTACAAAATCCTTTTATGTCCAAAGTACACTATTTAATACTTCATCAATTGTCACTGCCTCTAGTTTACAAGCAGAGTTACAATATATGAATGCTACTGTTCAGAAAATGATAACAAAGTTAATAGATATTAAGGATTAAATTAACTAAAATGATGTGCTCTTGAATGAAAAATTGTATTAGAGCAAAGTAGCTTTTTTGGACTCTTTAGTAGCGGCATCTCTTTTAATGGAGGATGTATTTCTTAAGATTCCAATGGCCACCATTAATTCTAATTTAGATAAAAAATAGATTATTAATGTAGCAGAGGGATTAATAAGTCTTATTGATGAAATTTCAATGCATGTTAATGTTTAGGCAAAAGTAAATGGCTCTCCATTAATTAATGATGGGCAAATCATAAAATGGTAATTGTCCAAAATTACTAAAGGAAAGTTTAATACGCAATTTAACATTGAAAGAGATTAATTAGATGGTTTGATAGACTTTGTTCAAAAAGAACAAATAGAATTAAATTACAATTATTTAAATCTATCTAAAGAATTATAAACATAATTGTAAACTTTCTTTAATATAACCACTCTATAAATTAATGAGAATACCCAAAAGAAACTTTATCTACAAAATCATCTTTATAATAATCGTTCTCTACATTATTAGGATCCACTTACAACATATATAATCGATATGATTTAAATTCCATACTGTTAAGAATAGGTTACTTTAGAAAAACCCTATTCATATGATTGTGTTAATATCAATATGTAAGGATAATTATTTAAATGTGATTTTATAACTGAGGAAATTAATAATACAACTGTGTAAGTATTATGCAGATGCCAAAAATTAGGAAGTATCTTTTTAATTTAATATCCCAACAACTCAACCATATAATAATATAATGGCACTTAAGATTCTTAGGAAAATAGAATTGACAATTCAAATGTAAAATTAGATGAGTAACCAATATTATTATTTCATGGCATTTTTATAGTTTTCTCTTTCTTCATCTATTATGAATTACTTTAAATCGAAATGAGATCTAAATAATTACAAATAGAATCCAGATTAGAAACAGAAAATAGCATAGATGAAACTTTGAAATAAGGAAAAACTTAGTAAATCATCTTTTATCCAGGAAATTTTGCTCTATTCAAGAAATACTTCAAAGTAAATAGCGTTATTAATATCTAGTTTATTCATGAAGTATTATCCTGCTTTTATATGGAAGACCCTATTCTTCCAAAAAGCTATCGGTTTTTGTAGCTATCAATAAAATTAAGTATTTTCATCTTATTTACATTTTTGTAAGTAAATTTGATAGATATGTATCCATTATTCATAATATTATTCGTCAATTGCGGAATTTACTTACTTATTAGAATGATTCTAAAGATAGTTTAGTCAATTTACAGATTTGGTGGGAAATGTAGTAATTCTATTGTAATCTTTTATATACTAATACATATATTATGTTATGTAGGGGTTGTTTTATAATTGAAGGAATGGTAAATATGTATTTATCTTTTTAGTTAAATAGACATTTAAATAATTAATTTTGAAGTATCCCTTATTATATTAGGCTCACTCTTTTATTTTTATGTCATTATTGAACCAATTATGATATTCTCAAGAATATTTATTTTTAGACTTATTGGCATGTAAAGTAGACATTAAAAAATTACTCCTTTGAATTAACTAATCTACTTTTTTGTCTAGCATAACACATTAGATTAACATCTTAATAATTATTGAAATATTATATTCACATTATATAAAAATTATTTTATCTTCATCTTATCTAATTATGATATAAAGCCAATCTGGGGATATTTCTTTAAAGCTTGAGCAAATAATTTACAATCCGCAAACATAAAGCATTGTTATAATTGTAATAGTAATTGAATGTTTATTCCTGACTTCAGAACATGCTATCAAATGGGTTGTCCTATGGGAACTTTAATAATAAGTCTTAGAAATTTTGCTCAAATATTACACAATGTTGGATACTTTAAAAATAGAGGCATAACTTTTAGTAATAAAATGCATTGTTGAATCTTGTGTTTGTTTAAAATTGGATTAATAGTAGTGCTTATAATAATATTTTATTTGATTTAAATAAAATATTAAGTAGTGGAGCACTTGTTTGAAATGATGAATGCTCCAAATAAATTACTCAAATATTAGTGTTTTAGAATGTCCTAGCTAAACCTATTTAAATAAAAAATCTTGCAGAAGTTTTGCAGATCCATTTTCATAAAGTTTTGGTGTTAAAGTATATGAGTAAATGTCATATTGATTAGAATAGGAGCGAAACAAAATGTTATGCCATTTTTCCTTATCTAAACCTTTTTAAAATTAGCTGATACAACATTTTTAATAATTGATTAAATTAGCGGTTGAACATCTTTTTAATAATTCCTCAACTTTTATCTCTCAATGATATATTTCTGCTAATAATAATATAATTTTTATGGTCCTCTCTTGCAATATTCCCTTGACTTTTCAAATCTTCTACGAATTTTAATTCAAATTCAGATCCTAAATTGTATGTTTAATATCAATATTATATCATTGCAATTTCTTGATTTACAATTATTATAAGATCCTCTCTAATTTTAGTTGTTTTTACTATGGTTTTCAAAATTTATTTTGATTTATGAATTATTCTAGATTAACTAGAGCTTTTGATTTAACTTTTCCCTATAATTTAGTAGAGCTATTTTTGTTATCTTTATGTTTCTTCTTTAATTATCAGGATTTGCATTCTATCTATTAGCCTTATATGTAATTCAAGAAATATAATTAAATAATAATATAAATATGTATATTATTATTTTACTTTCTAAAATTTCTTCAAAAAATAGAACATTTCGTTTAATAATCTGTAAAAGGCTTTTTGATACAAGATGTTAACATGTTTAAAAAAAACCATAATAACACAACTTATGAATGGTTGCTCATATATTTCAATTCAAATAAATGATAAAATTTAATATTAGAAAATGAGTTCATATGTTTTAATATCTCTTTACCAGAACATTTAAATATTTAATTTTTAAGATTTTCTAAAAAAATCTTAGAAAGCAAGTAAAGGGTTTTATACTATTTAACATTATTTTATAAAACTTAATGAGTAATTATTTTAAGTTTAATTATAATGATAAATTATTAACTAAGTGCCGAATGAAAATTTAAATCCT